CCCGCAGGAACACGAGTTTCGAGACTGTCGGAAGTTCGTCTTTTATTTATTTTTTATTCGTCCCGATACTCGTACTGTTTCGCGCGTTGTGCGAGATTAATAATTGATGAATGGAAAAACGGGTAATTCGATAAACGCGTATAAATGCATTTAGGGCATACACGGGTGATAAAATATTATATTCGTAATTATAAAGTATTTCATTGGCGAATATCTCTGAATTTCTCTGTTGCCTGTTCTTTCTCGATGTATTTGCTCATTCTTTAAAATTCGATTTCGAGCGATGGTTACACCTACTTCGTGTTATTTCGCACGGTGATATATAAATTAAATCAGTTTCGTGTCGTTTATTACGAAATTTGAAAAATTACATTTCGAAACGCAAGCGTGTGTTTATTATCGCGAACGTGAATTACAGTGCCCTTCGGTTATTCTTATTTTTACGAAAGTGATCGGACAATTTCGCAAAACTCTGCCCTTGAAATATAATATTTCGCAATATTTCTCTCAGAAAACCAATCAAAATCGTTCGTCGATTCTCTGTTAATTTAAATTTAAATTCTTTCACGCTTTTCTCTCTTCTTCTCGAGCGCAATTACCAAAGAATTGAAAAGAAAAAAAAAAAAGAAATTCACTCGTAATCTCTAACGGTCATTGTGCTAATATATCAAAAAGTGGTGCAACATAAAAGCCCATTCGTATCAAAGTATCGCGTGCAGAATAGACGAGGAGATCTTTACGTACGTGGTCTCTCTGTTTAATCCGATATTTCGTGTTTTCTAAAATATCCGGTGAAAATTCACCGAATAAAACTTATCATATTATATGACCGGATATCTCATTTGCAGTTATGCGGGTATTCCTATGAATTCGAGCACATTGAAATAGCGTATAATACCAAAGCAATATGGCATTATACTGTTAATAACGCGAAACCACTGTGTTATAATAATCCGTCAAAATGTGAAGCTTCCCCCCCACCCCCTCGTCCCGTCAGAGTTGTATCATTCAATTCGCCGTGATTGACGAGTCTATTAAGCTGGCATAGTGAATGCCTCGATGGAAATCAACGAGTTCTGTTTTGTAACGTTTGTAATAATGGAACATCAGGCCACGGTAAATGTCACCGCTGCGATTCGGCTCGATCGCGATAGCATCGACCGATTTTTCGACCACGTTCAACGCTCGCGCTCCGTTTCGCGAGATCTTTCGCGAGAAAGAAAGAAATATATATATAATGTTATAGTTGCCGTTTAAAAAGACAAAAATATTCGATCAATAAATATACACTCCCGTCTACAAGTCACACTTGCTTATTTTGATCTAAACAGTTACTAGAGCACAGATATACTTTTCTGGATTAATTTTATTATACAATCTTGTTATATTGTACTCTATTTACTCTATTTTATAATAATACTTGAAAACAAAACTGATATTTAACGTATATGGTCTGAATAAATATTTCAGAGTATATCAAAAATATATATATATATATATATATATATATATATATATATATATATATATATATTTAAAAAATAAGATCGATGTATTTTGGGATGAATTGGACAGAAGCCTTCAGAAATGTCCAAAATCAAAGAAATATTGTTAAAATTAAACGGAAGTATGCCATGGTTTTTCTGGCCTTCGTATTTGCACAAAGATGTAAGATACATTATATACAACTTGGTAAGATTTTTGACATATAAACAATTTGACATATGTCATATTCTATATTCTATATTCTGTATATAAATAAATATCAGTTTTGTTTTCAAGTATTATTATAAAATAGAATAAATAGAGTACAATATAACAAGATTGTATAATAAAATTAATTCAGAAAAGTATATCTATGCTCTAGTAAGTTTAGATCAAAAGAAGCAAGTATCCGATGACTTATGGACGGGAGTGTATATTTATTGATCGCATATGTGTGTAATCTTGATCGTATATTTTTTTTTTTTTACGGTAACTAAGATTTCATTTCCTTTAACTTTTTAACACACAGCGGCGGAGGAAAGAGAGTTTAATAACGTAAAATTGGATTGCTGTGTGTGAAATGGAAAGCTGTTCGGGCTATTCAACATATTCGTTCAATATTTTGGAAGCCTACTTGCATTCAGACTACTCGATCTAATTTTTCGAAATTTTTCCAACGTATTTTTATACGCATTCTGTTTCGTTTCTTTGCGACAAAAGAAAGAAAAAAAAAATTGTACATTTTTTTAAATGGCAACTGAGATTTCATTTCGTAGGTACCATTGACCCTTTAACTTTTTAACATTCACTGGATGCGGACAAAAGAGAGTTTAATCCTGAAATTAGATTCCTGCGTGTGGAATAGTCATTCAGACTTTTCAATCTATTCAATATTTTTAAAGCCTACTTATATTTAGGCTATATATCGAGCTGATTCGATGGTTTTGTCCAAATTTTGTTTGTGGCAACTAAGATTTTTGTTTTATAGATACTCTTTAACATTTTGATGTATAATGGCGGATAAAAGACTTCTTTTTCTTCTTCTTTCTATTTTCGTCTATTGTTGTACACGAAATAGAGGATTTCACAAGCGTGTAAAGTCATTTAGTCTGTTCCATATTTTTGTTATCGATCAGTGTTCAGCTCTGTTATCATTAGTACACATTTTTTTCTTGGCAATTTATATAATTTTTATTTGTTTAGATATTGATATAATTTTCATACAAATTTACCTTTTCGTACTGTTTACTCTTTAAACTTTCTTTCGTCTATCAGCGAGTACGCAAGAGGGTGTAAAGCATTTTACTGCATTTTCATCAAATAATTTATAAGAATTCGAGAATTTTGAAAAAACTGGCATCTATTTTTCACTGAACCACGAACGAGCGAAGAAGGAATTTTTTCTTGGAAATATACACGAAGCTCGTCGGCGTAAGACTTTTACACTGTATTGCATCAGATAATTAACGCAAAATTATAATATCTAATTAGGAGCGTTGGCTTTCTTCAATCATGAATTGCAAAGCAGAAAATTAAAACGAGCAATTCGTGTAGTGTTGTAAATTTGACATTAAATCCTTTAATTACATTACATTATATAGGATAATTAATATTGAAAATATTCCGTAAACAGCAATTTCATTTACACCAACTATCGTAGCCACGAAGTCGAAACAGTTTAAAAACAATTATTTGAAGTTGGTTAATAACCTGGCTAGTTAATCAAGAAATTCAGTTCAAACGAATCGAGTGAGAGTAAATATGTCTTGATACTGCGCTTGGAAAATTTTACGCGTGATTTTTCAAACGTTACACGCTTCGTTACGTTAATTGACAAGCGAAACTTTCAAATATTGTAACATCAGACAAATAATTGCTTGTATAATTACCAATTACTTACATAGTTGAACTTGTACAGAGTGAATGTGTGTTACTTAAGTACTAACTCGTCACTGATCTTTATTTGTAGCTAAGAATCAAACTAAAAGCACTCACTCAATGCTACCTTTTTGTACGAGCTTATTGATATTTGTTAACCAGTACGCTAGCGTTCGCAAATAGTAATGCAAATACACTTTGGTTAATTTACAATATTTGTGTTTGGCTAATACATACAGATTGTGAATTAATATTATTTTTTTTTACGGAACCAGCAGATTGTGTGTTTAAATTTATATTTATTTATATTTATTAAAATATTTATATTACTACTTCTGAAACTTAACTGCTTGCGTATACACGCCGGAAAGTGAACAAAAAGATAGCACACTATATTTTTTTGTACTATGTAAAATAGAAGGAATCACGTCAGTATTGTTGAGCGTGGATCTGCGTGTTATTTCAACGCAATACACATAAATTTCTCACAAGTACAATCTCTCGGAAATACAAAAACAAAAATGTAAATATGGCCCGCAGCTGCGAGACGGACAAGTCGAATATTTATGTTCCTCAGTCGTACAGAAGCTATCGGGAACGTAACATTCGTGTGATAATACGGTCAGTGTTAACGTAATAAATAGATAAATTTGTAAAAATGGGTCGCGGGAAGGAATTTAACGAAGAACGTTGTTCTGTGACGAAAATAGTCAAAACAGTTAACAACTGATCTACTAAAAGATCTCGATGATTATGGAAAAAGAGGAAGTTGTGGACGATCACAGTGTCCAACAACTAAGTATAAACGTATGACGTTAAATTCGTGCTTGACTGCGAGAAGAAGCTAAAGTTACGACAAATTGAGAATGTTCGATGTTCTTAAAGAATTGTGAACATACGAAACGACGAGAATTGCAACGAGAATGTTAGATGCAAGCAAGATCATGAACTGTACCGTTTGCAATTTGCAAAGAAACGGCGAATAGTCGTATTTATCGATGAAAAGAGGTTCAATTCAGACGCATCACGATCTACGAAAGAAGCGACAACTTCTGAGGAGGTATAATGATCTCCACGGTAAGAATGGGAATAAAATTTATTGCGGAGAAATTAGATAGTAAAAAGTGTAATACATTGAAATGATTGACGAATTGTAACGGAAGTAAGTACATTTTTCAACGTGATCACGCAGTGAAAGCAGTAAAATAATACTTAGACCTAATTGCTACCTTTTTGTTCCGTGGGTGTCGAATCTTCTTAATTTTCACAAATTAGAGAGATGACGAATTCGTCAAGTAACGAAGTACATGATCCGACGATTACATATACAATGACAATATCAATTTGGTGGCGTTTTATTTTACGTTAATTGCAAATATCGCACACCACGAACAGCAAGTTAAAGTACATGCGTACGTTTGCAAATTTTCCAAACTCCACGAAGAAAAAAAAAAAAATGTACACGTCTTTCGTGTGCCGTTTGCATAACTAGATCTTAAAAATCTTCGTTCAGTTAACGAATTAGAAAAAAAAAAAAAAAAACAAAGCTTTGCGAACTTGGTGGTGGTGTACGTTTGTCTACTCTACCAAACTACTATCTTCTTCTACCAACTAACGCCTTCTTTTCTCGTGTTCAGGTGACCGACTCGAAGGATCTGCAAGTGCCGTTCAGCACGGCGGCCTCCCTCGGCTACGGCCTCCATCATATGCTCCATCTGCCGCCGCAGTTTCTCCACCCTTTGGATCACCGTTTGCCGTTCGGAGGATTCAGGCCTCTGGGGCCGTCGGCCTTCGCCCCGCCGAGCAAGTGCTTGAAAGTGGAGACCGGAAACGGGCCGGTGGCCGGATCCGGTTTGCCGAGTATCGGCTCGCTGTCGAGCATGTCGAACATGTTCTCACCGTCGTCGTTGTCGTCGGCCAGCGGTGGCGCCGTTGTCTCCGTTTCTGGAGCGTCGTCGAGCATCGGAGGCGTCGGAGGCGTCGGAGGCGTCGGTGGTGGTGCCAGTGCCGCCACGGGACAGGAAGTGGCGCCACAGAGCCCCGCTGGCTCTACTAGCCGATCGCCAACTGGGACTGGGACTGGTTCGGTCCCAAATCGTGGCACCACGCCGGAGGATGAGGATCGCGACGCAAATGCCACCCCTGGCTCCGAGAACACCGAGCGATCCACGCCTGAGGAAGGACGACCGTATCGACGTGAGTTTGCCTACTTTCTTTCCCTTTTTTTCTTTTTTTTTTTAATTTCCTCCTCTTTTTTTTTTTTTTTTTTT